ATCGAATCCTTCACAGTAAATTAAGCAGGAGGATAAATCCTTTTCCATTGTCCTGGACAAAGTGGGTCAGATCTGAAACCACTGCAACGAACGAGACTTTTTTCCAAATGAAGTATTTAACGCTGACGTGTATGTTTATTAATTTGTGTCTGCGATCAGGTTTCCCCAAATATAATACAAACCATTTCGGGGGCTTTGATTTTAAGTCCTAAGCGTCCCATACGGTTGTGGGTGGACCTGAAAATCTCACCCCATCAGGGATCCTTGAAACGGCCCGAGGTCGCCCGTGGATCAAAGGAGAACCTTTAAGGGTCTGCTTACAGGCCCGTTGTGAAGGTAAGCAGGGCAGAGACCGGGAATTATTATTTGTGCTTTGTTTTTAGAAGCCCAAATATTTTCATCTGTTGTAGGGAAAGGAGGAGCGGGAAGGCTTGTTATCGCTTTGGCGAAATCATCTCCCCCCCCCCTTGCTCTGAAGAAGGGAGAACTTTGCCGGAGCCGGCCCGTCTCGAACTGCGCTGGCTCCCGTGGTCAGGAGACGTTCAAAACCCCAGGCCGAGGGAGAGCGCGGACAAAACGTGCTTTTATAGACTATAACCGGACATACTGGAGAGGGGCTTCCCCGAGCTGTAGTTCACCCCACATACACACACAAAAGGAACGTTTCCAAGATCCATAGTCTGAGTTTGCGGTAAGGCGAGCGCGCCCGCCGGCTCCGATTTGCGCGCCTCTTGCGCCCCTTTCGGGAACGCGGCGCGGAAAGAGGCGATCTTTGGGAAAGCGGGGGGGGGGAGGAAGGGAACGGAGAGCCGGGTTCCGCAGCCCCAGGGCTTCCTTAGACTCTCCTCCCGGTGTTTGTGGCGCAGCCACCAGCTCCAAAGGCTGGCTGACATTTACGAGATCCCTTTCACTTTCTGGTGTGCCCGGTTAATCGCCCCAGCGCCAGAAAATAATGCCAGGAAAAGCAGGTCGAAAGAAAAGGCCCGCCGGCAGCGCAGTCCTTGCTGCCACTCCTGGGGCCCAGGGCTGCCCTTTTAATCGACCGGGTGCCGGATTCCCTGGAAATCGGGCCCCACGGAGGGGAAAGGCGGCGAGCAAGCAAGCGGAGGAAAGAGAAAACGGGACCTATTTTCCAGAGGAGACACCAGATACTCAAAAATCTACCATTCCCAAACTAAACTCCTGGAGGAAAGGAATCTCTTCGGTAGCAATGGTGGATCACATTAGTTTCCAGCTTAGGAAAACACGAGTAGATCTTGGCTGGGTGCAATGTACTACGGAAAGTTTGCTCATTTAGGTGGCTGTTTTGGAGGATGCATGAGTTTTCCATTCATAAAAATTGGGAAAGATTAGGTTAGGACAGATGAAGATTGGTCAAGGTGCTGAGATGACCAAGTCCATAAAACTCAAGTCAGTTGCGTCTACCTACTGCTAGATTTGCACTGATGTTAGGATGACAAGGAGCATAAATGTTCACTGCCTGTATCAATTGCCATATTGGAAACTGCTAATATGCCTTTGTCATTTTCTGCTTCTCGTTTTTCCTTCCACTTCATCCTGCTCCTGTCCCTACACCGTGTACACTGTATATAAACTAGCAGCAAATATACTGCACGCTTTGTGTCTGAAAAAGTGGATTGAAATAAATCTGTTAGTCTTAAAGTTGCCACAATAGTTCTGTTTTGTTTTTGTATTGGGAAGTCCCACTCCCAAGCATGTGGATAAAGGTGCAGAGCAGCGTAAATAATTTTCCCCCCTGAGGCATCAACTTTCTTGGACTTGAGATAAGATGAACTGAGGAATGGACTGTAAATCCATGAAGAAGTCCATTCATCTTTAAAGGCTCATTTTTGCAAGAACAGACAAACCAGTCTCCCCCTTTGGTATATAATTCATCCAGATTTCCGGTTCCAATTCACCTTCAAAATCTAATATTCTGATATAATCCCAATATTTATAGTCACTAAAAAAAATTCCACAGTAGGGTTGAAAACCCAGTTAACTTCAAAGTAAGCCTTAGATATTTGAGCAACCCTCATGTTCTTGCATGGCTCACATTTATTTCCTTAGATAAATAAATGGGGAAAATTCCACCAGGCCTGGGTGGATGAAGGGGAGACCTTCTTCTTGAGGTCAGTGGAAATATTTTCCTGACTGAGCCCTCAGAAGATGTTCAGCTGATTGTGCTGCCACACAGGTGGGGTTACCCTGTTTCCAGCTGAGTCAAAATATCCCTGTCTGAAAGTTCAGGACAATTGGTTAAGAAGCACAGAGTGCACCAGATGTATTTAGAATTAGCATACAAGCTTTCACCTTAACATTATGATCAGATATTAAACAAAGCCATGAAGGCTTGCAGCCTGATTGTAAGGATTCTTGTTCATGGATTTCAGTGGAAAGTATGCATGCATGCATGTATGTATTGTGTGCTGTCGATTCCAATTTATGTTGACCCTTTCCAGGGTTTTCAAGGTAGAGAATACACAGAAGTGGTTTACGTTTCTTCTGGGCCAATCTTGGGACTGTGCAGCTTTCCCACGGCCATGGAGGCTGACTGTTCTCTTCTAGGAAGCATGTATGCATGTATGTATTGTGTGCTGTCGATTCCAATTTATGTTGACCCTTTCCAGGGTTTTCAAGGTAGAGAATAGACAGAAGTGGTTTGCGTTTCTTCTGGAGCAATCTTGGGACTGTGCAGCTTTCCCACAGCCACGGAGGCTGACTGTTCTCTTCTAGGAAGCACAGTGGGGAATCGAACTCCCAACCTCTGGCTCCACAGCCAGGTACCTAAACCACTGAGCTATCCAACCAACACAATGGAACGTATTTCAAGGCATTTATACTCAGAAGCATAGACTAGATGTCCATTGCACTGATATAGCAGTTTTTCATAAGCAGGTTAACTCTGCAGTGAATTCCAGCATATTGCGTGGGGCTAAATTGTACAGAGTCTGAGGTTATCTTTACTGATACTTTGAGAGTAACTACTAGTGATCATAATGGAACTTACTTTTCAGTAAAGGTGTGCAGATTTATTGGACTGAAGACATATGTCCACTTTAAGTGGTTGTCATTCTCTATCAATCTACCTATCACTTTTCTTTCTTGACTGGCAAAGGTGACCCTCATTTTAAATTAAGCTTGAAATTTACCCGTTCTCCGGGTGACTCCTTTTCTCATGGTCTTTCCTGGTAACATTGACACCTTGCCCTTCTTCACCTTCACTTCCAAGGAGGTCTTTCACAATTTTCTTTTGCATCAACTTGAGTTCCCTAAAAATCCTGGTAACAATTCATATCCAGTTCTCTTAATGGTTGAGCTATTTCCCTTGAAATCAAGGTAGTTAAAAATCAAGATCTGTCTTGATGGTAAAAATACCAGAATAAGGTACATAATAAGATTGACAAAGTATTTAATACTGCAATCCTCTTTGCATTTGCTTGAAAGTTCCTCCCCTACTGAACTCAACAGAGCTTACTCCCAGGTAACTGAGTGTAGGATTTGCAGCCTAGGTGACATTTTTGGATTCTCTTTATTCACCTGCCTCCATCCTTCCAGGGTAGGTTGCCATCTTTATTTGGAAGAAAGTTAATTTACAATTGCCAGAGGTCATCTCTCTGTTGCAACAACAACAAAAAAGGGCCTTCTGGCACCTTGAAGGCTACCAACTTTTATTTAGCACAAAATGTCTAGGGACTGTAGATATATCTGATGAAACTTGCTTTTGGCATCAACAATGGCTCATAGCTAAGGTGCCACAAGACTCTTTGAATGGTGGGGGAGGTATTAGTGTATCAATAACAAATGCATGCTTGCGTATTTGCAGGGAGAATAACAGGGTTGTGAAACCAGGAGGAATCTCAGTGCCGCCGCCACCTCCTCCATTTAAAAATATGTTTTGCCGGCTCAACTTCTTAAAGGGAAGGCTTGATCCATGTCTTCCGAAAGACTGTGGTTGCCTCAGGAGAACATGTAGAATGCACTATCCAAATGCAAAGATCATTGTTGCAGCAGAGAAATTGCAGGAAGGGTTAGAAAAGCTTTCGCTTCTCTCGTACACACCTCCCACCACCAGTACCTTCACTGGAAAAAAAAGAGTTAAGCTCAGGACTGGAACTGTTTGTAGTTCTGGAAAGAGCACTTTGAAGGCTCCCGAGAGGGGGAGGGATTGCCCGGGGCAGATCTTCCACCCTGTGGTTCCCTGCTGTAAAGGCTGACTGAAGATTCCCAGCATCAACACCCAGTTGGGGCAAATGGTGAAATTGGTGCCTGTTTCCTGTCCTTAGCAACCTTTGTGTTGAATTATTTGGAGGGTTGGGAGCGGGTGACTTAGTGGCGATTTCCCCTTCAACTGCTGTGATTTACCAAGACCCAAAATTCCTTCATATGGTAACATATTTTCCTATTAAATTCCATGTATATGGGGCACATCATAGATTATGATACCTTGTGTGGACTAGTAGAGAGAATGACAGACTAGGACTGAGGAGACTTGGGTTTGAATCCCTGCTTGGCCATGCAAAACTCATTTAGGGAGGAATTAAACAGGTAAAACTACTCTTTCAATATTTCACTTAGTTTGAAAGCCCTGTTAGGGGCACTATAAGTTGGTTTTAACTTGATGGCACCCAGTATATAACACCATAGAGAAATAAATCTGTTTATACCCAACTATATTTGATACATCCCACATTCCTTTACTTTGTAATCTGTAAAGGAAGCAAGAGCTGAGCAGAGCTGTTAGTGACAGGACATTTTGGAGGTCACTTATTGGGAGGGTCCCGCCTAAGTCGGAGGTGGATTGACAGCACATAAGAACAGCGGAGATTTATTTGTTGTTTAAATTCCAATGAGAGCAAGCAGGGGAGAGAGAGAAAGAGAGAGAGATTTCTCTACTAAGTTGCAGATACACAAAAACAGAATGAGAGAGAGAGAGAGGTAAATATATAGAGAATTAATAGATAACATTCTGTTCTGTCTCTCTCTCTCTCTCCCATCCTTGTCCCTAGAACCTAAAATGAGAAAGAAATCTCCCAGTTAAGGAAATTCAAGAAATACAGATTGGGAACAAATGCCTTGTGAGTCTTAAAACTTGCTACAAAGTAAATGTGTATTTTGGTTTGGGGGTGAACTAATTTTTTTTAACAATAAGAAATAAATAAAGTACCATGTTTGTGAAACACTCAGCAAACTAAAAGTTCAAGTGGACTGCTGGCAGCAGGAGGGGAGGATAGAAACTTCTGGAATGACGTTACAACAGGGAGAAAATGGCATTAAAATCCAAATCCCACCCTTAGTGATCTTCGGCCAGTTGCTATCGCACAGAGTTGCTGTGAAGCTGAAGTGTATAGAGGAGAGAATGTAACTCTCTGCTTGCAAATTTTTATTGCATGTACTCTTTGCAAATACTTGATAAAAACATTTATTAGGGAGTAGAACTATTACGTTGACCAGATTAGGCTCCTCAACACAAGTTCTGGCAGTTGCAGGCAGTTGTTTTGTGTTTTGTGGTGCTTACTCATAGGTAAATGGTGCCTTCATTGTACACCTAATGGGGCATAGTAAGTGGCACTTATTCTGGAGTACGTTTGAGTAGACTTGGCCCTCAGGGATCTGTCTGGGAATTCAACAGCATTGACATCCTCAGCTCCCTGTGATGTTTTGACTGTAATGGACTCCCTAGTCAGTGTTGGGGGAGGAGGCGACAGAGTGGAGGCCGCTCCCTGTGAATTTGTTTGTTGGGTCTAGCAACGTTAACTTTCTGTGACATGGGGTTAGATTCTTGCTGTTGCTTTTCTCCTTTTTGTTTTTGGGAAGATAAACCAAAAGGTGTTCAATCTGGGCATCCCTCTGTGGCTTCTGCTAACCCAGTCTCTCTTTGTAGATCTGCTGGATGATCTGTCCGAGAGTCGAGAATGTGTCAACTGTGGCTCCATCCAGACCCCTCTGTGGAGAAGGGATGGCACTGGCAACTATCTCTGCAATGCCTGTGGGCTGTACACCAAAATGAACGGCCTTAGCCGGCCTCTCATCAAACCCCAGAAGAGAGTGGTGAGTTTGAAGTCATTTTCCTACTGTTTCTTACTCAGTGTCGTGAACATATAGCCTGACACTCATGCAGTAAGAACAATGACTCTGTGCCCGTGTTTTCTTTTCATGTGCTAGAACTATGCAGTCTCATAGCAACTAAAAGTTTACAAAATTAATTTCCTGGCTTCTTTCCAGAGTAGGGAAAAGTTAGACACTGATTCCCCTGGGCAGCATGAGAGTTCTGGGAATTGTAGTAACTTCTGCTAAGCTATGCTCTTTTCATAGCATCAAAATTTTTTGCTTGGAGTAAATGCAGTTAATCTCACACTCTAAAACATTCTGCTTTCTCAGTTGGACCAAGAGCTACAATTACTTGGGAATAAGTGTATTTGAGTTGGTGGGGTATGCTTTTGAGTAGACATAGGATTGCACTGTCAAAATCCCAGTGATTTCCTGTTGCTGTGAATTTGCTGAATGGTTGATAGGTATATCCTAGAAAAGTCATTAGAATGGATGGAGTCTTCTGTAATGAAAATGTAAAACATCTCACCTCTACAGCAGAGCAGAATGATCTTACCAAATTTAGAGACTCTTGGCTAAATTAACATTTCAAAGGATTCATCTGGTTTGTGGATTCACGTTGTCAGTCTAATGGCTCTTACACTTCAGATCCTTGTGTATGTCTGATCCAAGTCAAAGTTCTTCACATACTAGTCATTAATAATAGTTTTAAAACTGGGATGCCAGGAAAGATTACAGAGGTTCTAGTTCTGAAGCTGCAATCCTGTGTACACATACTTGGGAGTAAGCCCCAATGAATTTGACTGGATTTCATTCTAAGTAGATGTGGAGGGGATTGTGCTGCAAAACTGATCTACTGATGCTAAGCAAACTGTTTGAAAATTGATTCGGCTGGTTAAATTTCATTTTGTTTTTCGAGTACATTGTTTGGGGAGGGGAGCGTCATGGCTCTAGTTTAGCACTGAATGCTGTTGTCAGTAGATTCCAGTAAAAGAACATAGCTGCAGTCAACAAGCATTCTTTTCTAGATCATAAGAGTTATAAACATGCCCAGCATTTCAAAAGCAAAACTGAGATTCTCACTCCCTTCAAAGGAGCCTTGAGATGTTTAGGGCTGGATTTCCAGGAATTCAAAGCATGTCCATGTCCATTAGAATTAGAAACCGCCAATTCCTTAGAATGAAGCAATCTGTTAACTGTAGGTGTAATAGTTTCTGTTTTGGTACCCTGTACATATGTTGACCAAGGGAGCAAGTAAGTCCCAAACATTGTCATTCTTTATTGAGGAAATGCATTTCAAAAAGGGATAATTTAGGATGTTGCTGTTGTTTTTGAAAAGGTCATAGCTACCAAGGGAACAATTTTTCACTGAATGTGAATGGCAGATGAGCAATGCACTAAAACCACAAAAACCAAGCAAAATTCATGAGGAGATTACTACTAGTGCTGCTGCTGCTGCTGCTGCTGCTACTACTACTACTACTACTACTTCTGCTGCTGCTGCTGTTTCACATGTATTAAAAATGCTTCATTTAAAATATGATGTTGGACAAAAGCTTATCAAGTACAGTAGTACCTTAATTTACGAAATACTATAAATCCATTATCTGGGATGTTGCGTAAAACAGAAATAACATAAACCAGAACGCAGATTGCCGTAGCAACGGGGGCAGCACTAGAAACCTCCAGGTGCGATGCACCTTTTTCATACAATGAACCCCTCTCTTGTAAAAAATGTAAACTGAGGCATTATTTTGTTTCGCAAACCAAAAATTAAGTAAACCAAGGTGTACGTAAACTGAGGTACGCCTGTACCATGGAACAGCAGAAAGACAAAGAAATGAAGCCTAAATTGTCACTTGAATCTAAAACTGAAGCTGACATACTTTGGACATGCCTTGAGGAAAGACAGTAATGCCAGGAAAGTGGAAGATGG